TCGTTTCAAGCATAGTGTTTCTATGCCCGGTGTCTTGGCTGTTACATCAGTGTTGAACATTGGGGTTACTTGCCCAGTATTTTTCGCTCAACTCATTTGAAAGCAGTACATGATGGCACGTGGCCCACTGCATGCTATATGTACATGCACGTGTTGAGCAACGACAGTCGAGCCAGCTACCGCGTGTGACTAAATATAATAAACGCAAGCCACGGTGGGGCCAGTCAGGCATTGGTTTAGTTTGACCCCAAACTTTCCGTCATCACTTCACAAGGTCATGGCCTATGGAACAAACTGGGGGGGGGGGGTCTAGGGGATGTGCTTTAAGATGTCGAGGTGAAGTTGAAAGGGGTAGTTTTTGCAATGGGAGTGGATAACTGCCAGCTGTTCCCAAGCATATGCTTTAATTGTTGCTTAATATGCTGCTAATTTTTCTGGCAGTTCATCAGTATTGATTTAAGCAAGTCTGACTCTGTTGATGAGACACTGGGTGTAAAAACCAGGCCAGAATTTTGCATGTACTGAATCAATGCTGCTGAGATTATGAACTTCCAGGAGGCAGTTTGCATTATATAAAACTAAACTATATCAACACACTTTTTTTACTTTACCAGGTAAGGCCCACTGAGCTACATAGCTCTTTTTCAGAAGGAAGCTGTCCACAAATGACAGCTCAACGAAGTGGCTTATCATGTGGAAATGTATAGCAGCCAAATATTCTAAACGCATGTTTCTGAATGTGGAGTGAAAAACCAGAGGCCCCAGATCTACAGGTGTCAGGGTCGGGATCGAACCGACGGCCTCCTGTATACCAGGCAAGGTAGTTAACGAGTTTTGTCTACAGTGGTATATTTATATTGGGTTATCCATATATACTGTTCTCTCTATATACAAATGCACACTTTTGGGTATTTACCCAATTATTGATGTCTAGAGTTCCGGCATGCCCGCTCATAACAACCTTGTTCTCCAAAAGTGGCCTAGATTTTGTCATATTGGGTATCAATGTGCTCATCTATGTTACGTTTTAATACTCTAGCTTGTCTCCAAAAAAAATTAAATACGTAGCATTATTTCTGGTCTGGCAATTCTCCTTTTCGCCAGTATATGTGGTTGCACATTCATCTTGGGAAATCTCGCTGGTCCTTATTTTTGCAGTCGGGTCCTGCTGTAAGATACTTGGCGAGTTCACTTTTCGGTTGTTTTTCTACACGTGGAAGAAACCAGAGCTTCTGGAGAAACCCACACACATGGGGAGAGCTCGAGGCTTAAAACAACCGACTTTATTCACTGTTCCCAGCATTCACCTCATTTTCCTGCAGAAGGGTGTCTCACGTGCAGCTTCCACCCTGCCTCCCACGTCTGTGGACTCCAGGCATGAACCACGACCTGCTGGTCACTGCTTGGCTATCCTCAGCTTGCCCAGCCTACAAAGTGACACTACTTTGTGGTGTGAAGGTTAAGTTTAATATTATACTCCTAGGCTTCGCTTTTGTATCTTATACACCCCTATGTGTGTGCAATACATAGATACATACCTGTCAACCCCTTATCATGCCTACCAATTCACACCTTTTTGGTCAGCCTTATAAATCACGAACAAATAGACAACATTTGTTTGCCCTTATTGAAATGGCTGTGCGCCGTATGGACCTGAAAACTCAATTTCCCTGTACAAGAATATGGGTAAACCGTATGGGTTGACAGGTATGTATATATATTAATCACATAGTTCCAATGGAAGGCCAGTGCAGCTTAATATCCACGAGTCCTCGTGCTGCTGAAAATGTGGCCGTACTTAGTGCTCAATTGCCGCTCACGACCAAAAACAGTGGCGAATATTTGAACCGGTTCTGGGCATCCCCTAGGTTGACTCTACCTCAAATGAGTACCTGGTGTGGTGTGTAAACATCGCCACTGGGGAGACGAAGGCGGCCGGACGTGGTGCTGGCCACCCACCCCCTCGTGTGCCATGCCGGCCTTCATAGGTGCTCCTCGCTAACAGCACTTGCCCCAACAGTCTGTTAAGGCTACACGGGGGGTCTTTGTACTTAGTTGGCACGGATTGTGGTGATGACACCGAGATGGCATCTCTCTCTTTATGTAATGTTGCGCCATTGCATTCACAAGCGCGAACGTGTCCGCTGCCACCTGATCTGACTTCTGTTACCTCTGCGCACCCATCTTTATAGGGGGCGCATGCCTACAAGCGATGTTGTTGAATATGATAAAAAGATAGCTTAAGGAGCTGGGTGGGCTTGCGTTTGTGTCGCAAGTTTTAAATGCTGCACTATCTCTTATTCATGTAACACGTTGCCACCGCTCCTCTCTGAGGGTCGACGGGGCGAAGTTGAGGTTTGATCGTGGATGCCGATTGCCACAAATATGTATATGCTTTCAAGTGTTGACTCGCAAGCTGAATAGATAAAAAAAAAACCTGAATGAGTCAGTGTCCCATTGCTTAAATAAGTAATGCACCCAGCGCTCATCCTCTGATGGCTGCGAGTTCTTGAGCTAGCGCCTCGAGATTTGCCGTGCAGGTGTGAGGCGCTGTATAAATAAAACGACGACGGCATTCACGACGACGACGAGAATTCCGTACTCTCATGGCGGGGAGCCAGCCTCTCCATAGCACGGCCACTGGTGACTTTTACAAAAAGCGTTTTTTTTATCGATCGCCGAGGAGAGCACTGATGGAGGCTCAATTGATCCTGACCAGAACTTGAACCCGCAACTTTCCTATCGTGAGAAATAAGCGTTCGAGCAGCCACGCTGCCACCCAGCCAGCTGGCTATTAAACACTTCAAGGTGGCTTCAGGACAAGGGCTCTCTCTGATTTAAGGACGCCACTAAGCATTCATGACCCATCATCAATAGCATTGTTAGTGTCAACAGGCGCACGCCATGTTACTACACAGGGCCGTCCGTGGACCACGAGCATGTGATGCTACTACGTAGTCTGCTTTTGCACGGTGCGGGAAGAGGTACTTGCAAGCATATGAGCTCTGGGGACACCAACCATCGCAAATTTTCACCCAGGCCAATGTGGTGGCAGTAGCGCAAGCATCACATTAATACGATATTATGCGTGGCTATTATTTGTCACAAAGCCCATAACAAAAGCTTCATAAAATCTGCTCCAATGTTATTTGTTCTTTATTTGCAACAATTTAAATGAAACAAAGATACGAATACCTTTCATGAACTCCCAAGACCAGAACAAAAACTGTTCTTTTGTACATCAAAAGCACATGTGGGCAATGTAGAATGAATAAATGGCGAAGATTTGACATAACATCGGTATGCAGTAAGTAGAGCGAGACGTGGAACATTGTGCCGAAGCAGCGCGCAGAAGAACCCTAAAACACGTCGGTCGAGCTGGATGGAACAGGGCCACGCCAAGCAAAGACAAAATACCCCTCGTATAGCCTGTATACAGACTGTTGGGGCAAGTGCTGTTAGCGAGCACCTATGAAAGTCGGCATGGCACACGAGGGGGTGGGTAGCCAGCACCACGCCCGACCGCCTTTGTCTCACCCAGTGGCGATGTTTTACACAACGCACCAGGTACTCATTTGAGGCTGAGTTGACCTAGGGGAGGCCCAAGGACCGGTTCAGATAATCGTCACTGGTGTTGGTAGCCATGAGTGGGAATTGAATATTCGGGTCACCGGGTTCGTAGTGCAGCACGTTAACCGCGACACCACCGCTCCTGCTATGCAAAACATACACACGGTCTCATGCAGTCATCCTCAGTCCCGTCAAGTTATGCGCTCAAGGCTTCATCTGAATTATTTAAGGAAAGTATTTTAATTGTGGTTATAATGGGGCGGTGGGGGGGGTATAGGTATTTTCCATAAACACACGTCTCCCCCTTATTGAAATGTAGCTGCAGAAAGCACAAACGTGTAAAATAGAATGTGTTTATAACTAGAGAAGCACACAGAAGTGTAGATTACACTGAAGGCAGTTGAGTTAGAATAAGCATTTCCTATGAAAGTCATGCGAATATCGTCTAATCCTAATTAAATTTCAGGATTAGATATTTTTTTTTCTACGGACATATTTCACGGGGACATTTCACAATGAAAATAAGTCTTTTGAGAATAATTTAACAATTTTAACACGTTGAAAATTGGTTTTATATGATTGGGAATATAGTTCACAAACTAGGGAACTCTCAGCATGTAGTGTTCCATTTGAACAATTATCGTAATGGATGAGATGTAATAATCCATGGACGGTATTGTGTAGGTTCAATATGCATGCATGCATGCAAGTGTGTACCATGTAGGGTTGCCTCCTTGGATATGCAACAAGACCGGAACATTGTTGGAAGAAGCATATCTCACAAAAAGCGGCACAGGGGAGAACGGCACGCAATTACATTTTCTTCGATGGGTTATCATTGCTCAATTGGCAATAATCCCAACTTTTAATATCCCGGGAAGACTTTACGGATTTCCCGTGACAGCTGCCAGCTCAACAGGAGGACGTCCCTGAGAAAAAAAAAACACGAAAGGTGGCAACCCTAGTAACCGTGGCAACCCAGTAACCGTGGCAACCCAGTAACCACGCAAACCTAGTAACAACCGTGCAACCCGAGTAACTGTGGCAACCCAGTAACCGTGGCAACCCAGTAACCACGCAAACCTAGTAACAACCGTGCAACCCGAGTAACCGTGGCAACCCAGTAACCGTGGCAACCCAGTAACCACGCAACCCTAGTAACAACCGTGAAACCCGAGTAACCGTGGCAACCCAGTAACTGTGGCAACCCAGTAACCACGCAAACCTAGTAACAACCGTGCAACCCTAGTAACCGTGGCAACCCAGTAACCATGGCAACCCAGTAACCATGCAAATCTAGTAACAACCGTGCAACCCGAGTAACCGAGGCAACCCAGTAACCGTGGCAACCCAGTAACCATGCAACCCTAGTAACAACCGTGCAACCCGAGTAACCGTGTCGGGCGGGCGATGCACTATGCTGTTGTGCTACTTGCGTTTGACTGCCGGTTGTGAATGGCGGTTGGGCAGTTGGTACGTGCACCAACCTAGAGCATCATGGACGTTTCCTTTGGGGAGGAAAAAGAAAGATGTGAGCAACCAAGGTCACGTGGGGTGGTGTCGGCACCAACGCAGTCAGGCGACGCTGCCAACTTGGTCACCCGCCTTGTTGCGCAACGTTTGGCAGTGGCACGAAGTGACTACCCCACCAGGATGCGCCACGTCGCTGTACCCGCAGGTGCGCTGAGAAGTTTAATTTGTGCCACTATGCTCCATTGGTAACACTAAAATAGTATCGTGTCATGCCATCTCACGGTCCACACCCACCTCATTCGTGCAATTCGCCAAGTGTAGCTTATCAGCCGAGGCTGAAAAAGATTATCTGTAAGATAAAAAAAATGTGTGTTTAAATGTTGAATGGATTTTATTGCACAATGCACTGTTGTTTGTGCTTTGAACAATGCTGGTTAAGTTATTGCGAAAACATTTTTTTTTCTGAGTCGGCTGAAAGGTAACAATAAAACTCTCAAGATATGTTCCACTTGATCAGACCATTTTAAAATTATCTCTTCCACATCTCAATCGGTTTGGTAGTAGTGTGTTTTGTAGGGTTTTTGATGAATAGTGAAGCTTGGCCAACAACACGAGTTTATTTTATCTGCGACCCCGTGAAGACATTTGATGGACAGAGAAAAAGATCCCCCGTGTAGTCTTTACAGACCTTTGGGGCAATTGCTGTTATCGAGCACCGTATGAAGGACCATCACGGCACACAAGAGGGTGGGTGGCCAACACTATGCCCTGCCGCCTTTGTCTCCCCAGTGGTGATGTTTACACACCACCCCAGGTACTCATTTGAAGCTGAGTCGACCGCGTGTGACTCGTCAACCCCCCCATGGCGCAAGCCGAGGCCGTGCTACGTGGGTGGTGCGCCATGTACCCATCCACCTGGGGATAAACTAAACGCGGGCGTCACGGCGACCGGCGCACACGCGCGCGCACCGAGACACACAGACACGCGGTTGTCGCTCTCAGCAGCGATGGCCACCAGAGTTCTTGGCTTAAACTGGTCGCACAGTTTGTGTTTCGGCGTGTGTAAACTACTGATGAACTATTGTTTTACCAGGTAAGGCCCACTGAGCTATATAGCTCATTTTCAGAAGTGACCTTGCAACAAATGATAGCTCAACGAAGTGGCTTATCACGTGGAAATGTACAGCAGCCAAATACTCTAAACGCGTGTTTCTGAACGTGGAGGGAAACACCGGCGACCATGGGGAGAACATGCAAACTCCAAATATACAGGTGGCAGGGTCGGGATCGAACCAACGACATCCTGTATACCAGGCGAGGTAGTTAACATCTCGCCACTGTGTGCATGTGCATTATTACAGTTTATTTACAAGTAAATAGCCATACACATGATGAAATGTGTAATTCTGCTCTGATGTATGTTGAACGTCTTTCGCACCGTACATAGCCAACCGTGCTAATCGGAGGTGTGGGGGGGACAACAAACTAAACACTAAAAGCAGTTCTAAAGTGTGCGTGCAGATGCCAGGTTACTATCTCTGCCTTGGCGCTAGTACTGCTGGCTTTATATCTGCTTCTTTACCCCAGCCGCAGGTCCAAATATGCGTTTTTATCTCGTCGAGCAAGTCACTTGCAGTTTATGTAATGGGGGGGGGGGCGGGGTGTATGTACATAGTTTACACGTCCCGCGGAAACTGGCTATGAGAACACCTCCTATAAGCACAGTCCTAATATAAGCAACACGTGCTTACATTGATTGCAGTGGCGGGAGGGGATGTAAGCAGAGGGGAACTTTTTATACGAGAGCACACGGTGGATAGAAGCTGCACGTTGTCCTCACTTCCAGATGGTGTAGCTGTATCCAGATTCTACGAAAACAAAAACCGTTTTGACCTCGTTTTGCTTCTTAGAAAAGTCGGCCCCTCCATTGTTTGTAGCAACACCGTTCGGTGGTGCCCATATCCCAGAGCAGGAACGTGGACATGTTCCTGTGATGGGGACCCCCATAGTTCCATTGTACGGCCGCTGTTTGCTTCTTGTAAAGTTTTTGTTTTTAGCTGCCGTTGAACCTGAATGGCTGATGCACAGTTTTAACCCCTTGACTGCCATTTGAATGTCATAACGTATCAATCGTGATATTGGTGCTGTAATTTATCACCACCACGAATGTGTACCAATCATATAATAAGTTGCATTTGCTTTTCATTGGCTTTGGTTAAAGAGCTCACCTTCAATATCGTGATATATGTAGTGCAGTACAATCATTATACCATCCCCTAGCTCATTTGCAATGTAATTAAGAACAAAGCACCCGTGTATTGAGTTAACTTACATCCATTTATACTTTATTTATGTTCCTTTGGAAAGTGCACATCGTGTTATTGTCAAAGCTGAGGTATAAAATATTGTTAGATATTGTATAAAGCATTCCCACCGGCCGCGTGTTAAATAATCGAACTTGAGCTTCAATATTCTATATCTTGTAGACATTAAACGGAGATGGGTTAAAAAGTTCCCCGAACCGTGCATTTACAGTAAATGACAAGTTCAAGTAGATTTGAATAGTGTCGGTGAACATGGGAACGTGAGACAAATCAGGCGAGGGCATAAAGCATCTGTGCTAATCTGTATTAACGGCATAGTACAGAACAAGCGGTGACTTTTAGTAAATCTCTGTTCGCTGCAACGAATGCTTTACGTTTAATGGAGTCACTCCTCGTGAATTATTAGTCTCAAATGTCCACTCGACAATATGAACAGGAAAACAAAAGCGACATTTGCAAGTGAATGTTTTTTTTATTAAACGGATGCAACAACTCCGCATTTCGTCAGCTCCTCCGACAAATCGTGTCACGCGCTAAAGAACAAACAATGCCGCACAACTGGCAAAATAAATATACCACCCAAAAAATGAAACACGCGTAAATTCCCATCCTGTGTTTATCAAACATGCATCAAGACACACATATATATATTCTGTCCAGGAAAATATTGGCGCAAAGCACGTACCTGTATTAACTTCTGGATTGCCTGTGGCTATAAATCACATTGCCGGCGTGGCTCGCGGTGGCATATTCGAGCGAGCGAGTGAGCGAGCGGATCGTGGTTGCTTGTGCGCTCACGGACGATGGCAGTGTGCACAGAAATGCTGCATTGCAGTTGCCCAGCATTCATTGTGCCGGCTGGAAGGGGAATCGCCGTTGCTGGGAAATGTATATGGTGCAGTGTTTACAAGGCGCGCTCGGCCTGAATAAATAAATAAACAAATGCACGGGATTGAATAATAACAGCAACAAAACACGGAGCCGCAGCCCTGCCAGAGCTCCAAGTATATTTCGTCGCCCTTGTGATTTAATGTGAATAATGCACGGTTGGATAATGATAATGAGAAGAACATCATCATCGTACAGCCAGATTTTCTTTTACAATTATTCGTTTGGTTTCAGTCGGATTACTCGTTCTCATTTATTTATAAAAAAAAACACAAGTACTGTACTATTTTCTCCTGCCAAGCGTCACCCATGACAATGGCCATTGATTTTAATGAGATCCGCCGCGTCTTTTTTGTTGACGGCTCCCCCATAATCCCAGCACAGCAAATCGGTCGTCGCTCCTCCGATTAGACACTGACGCAAGAGACTCGCCAAAGGCGCTTGGTTTTTTTCTTCCACCTTTCGAAGGCGTCCCTTTCGTTGTTGCACGCTTGGGGTGTTCAGCAGGGTGCATCTGGCACGTGCCACCCGCTCAAGTCACGCCGTTGTTGCTGTCGCTGTGCTAATGATCTTACCGTTCTTATCGCAAAATTGGGCGCCTGCTCGCCGAATCCGAGAGCCCGACAAAAGATTGGGCTTTTCTCGACTTTGACGACGCCAACGTGGGCGATAGCAAACTGCGGGAAGGGCAGTGTTGGTTGTCAAGTAATAGACGGCACTTTTGCATTCGGGCTCGAGAGCCGGACGATTTTTAATTTTTGGCCGGTGCTCAAACGATGTCCCCAGTATCTTGGTACTGTATTCGAAACTGTTCCATGGCAAGCGCTGCCCTTCAAATGGGACATTAAGACCAATGTCCTATCTACTCTGTTGATATTAAAGATCCCATGGCACTCTTCAATAAAGAGTTGGTGAGTTAATCCTGGTGTCTTGGCCATAATCCCAACTCCAGGTCAGTAGAGTCCATTGTCCTACCCACTCTCCCCCCCCCCCCCCCCCCATCTGATAAATTCCAATTGCCATTGGCTCACCACCCCACTGTGAAGAAGACTAAGAAAATAACCTCACATCTACCACTGTGAGTGTTGGCAATCATTTCTAGGTCCAATTCCTTCTGGAGTTTCTTCCATTATGAGTTTGTTGAGTATCAGATTGGACAAAACGATTTGTACGTTTAATGAATATTTATAATGATGTAGGTTAACTCAATTCTTCATCTGGATAGTGTCAAATATAACAGGACTTGGTTTTTAAGTGGTTTATAATTGTAAGTGTAGTACTGTTCTGTGGTTATATTTTACTTTTTAAATCCAGTGGCTTATTTATTTTTTCAACGGATATTACACCACATTGATTTTTCATGGGAGAGAAGAGGGAGCAGGGGCGATATGTAACAGGTTTTGTGAAGATTCTTTAAACAGTTGAAGCAACTGTTATTGGCCCTGTATCGAAAGGATGACTCAATTTTTGTGCTCGCTTGAAATAAGATGTGCATACTCTTTGGGTCTTTCGGTAAAGTCACATAGATAGAAAAATAATGAAAAATCACGACGTTTCGATCGCAACACAAGCAATCGTCTTCGGGTGAAAAAATACAGCAGGCGGACTGCTGAGGCAGGATCTCCGTGACTTTACCGAAAGACCCAAAGAATATGAATTCCTGCAGTCACGAAAGCTTTAAGTCAAATAATAAGTGATTTAGTGAAGTAAGTGTGAGTACTGTATACATCGGTTTGATTACCCCCTCATGATTACAAGCACAGTACTGTATAGATGAGCATTCACATCCAAGTTCGGCTGTGTTGATTCATCAATTATTCTTGGGTCATATCACAGTGAGGTGAATCAAATGTGTGTCATACACCCTTCTCCACCCGACACAGGAAATTAATAAAGTTGTCACCTGAACGAACACGTTGGTATGTTTCACACGTAGGCGAGTGTATTCAGCACACCGGTGTGTGTACGAAACACATTTTACATCACGTGATCCGAAACCTCAAATAAATTACGAATCTTAATATTATTTCGCGAAAGCCTCCATGTTAAATTCAGACTATGTTGAGTTGAGGTCACGACGTTTGACTAAATATAAGCTCTGTGCACTGCTGAGAAGATAAGCTTTGATTCCAATATTTGGGTTGTGGAAATGCTGCAATGATAATGGTATACGGTACATGGTAAGATTCTGATAACACCACTGTATTAGCTGGACTGGTCTTTCCCATTCTCCTTCACCGCCTCACGCTGACCCAAGTGTGGTGAAGTATGGTTAACAAACCCACACGACTGAAAAGGGGTTTCAGAGAGCAATCGATTCTGAAAGGACTGTAAACATTTATTTTTTTATTCTAGTACATGTTTAGAGTTGAATCTCCTTGCTTTTTGAAAGGTGAAGGATACAAACTGAAACAAGGAATATTTTTTCCGTGCCGATTAATATTTGGAGATTCGTGCCACTTAATTCTGTCCACCTGGGCAGGGACAACACTTTGCCTTGGCATGACTCTGAAGCTTAAACGTAGCTCACGTATTCACGTACACAAACTGTCCGTTGTGCATTTTGTATTATACACACGATGTATCTTTTGTTTTAGATATTTCACCGTGTTGTATGCCTGTAAGTAAGAGAACAGCTACATTTAAGGCTTGTTCTACTTCTTACACCCACCTATTCTCGAAATGTATTTTAATACAATTGCATCTAGCAAAGCTGCGCATGTAAAAAACTAAACTTGTTATAGAACATACATTATGTGTATGCTTTAGTTAACCAGACGTTTGATTGGGTCAAATTCTGCATTGCGTTTTGGTGTCTTTACAATCGATTATTTGCCCCCACCACTTCAAGTTCCGTTGCTAGCTTTGTAGTGGAACATTGCAAAAATATATTGCATGGTTGTAGCTTAAAAAAAAGTTTCTTCCAGTACAAATACGTTAGATCAGATTGGTGTTGTTAGCGTGTGCGAGTTATGTCGAATTTTAAATTGAGTCCTTCTAAAACGGGTATTTATTTATTCTGCCACTTACATCCATTCAGGATCAGAGCACATACATTCTATGTTCCTCCACCAACAACAACTCTACAGAGGGTGAGATTTCATCAAGTACCTACAGTACAGTATTCAATGTCTCTTAAGATACTCAGTCAATTGAGACTCAGCATCAGACGCATTTATGTAAACCCCTTTTATAAGAAACAGAACATACACACCACACGTAGTTGTATTTCCAGGGCAAATATCAACACACAAGACTTACTGTACAAAAGAAGCTTAGAGTACTTATTATACGAAGTCCTGGAGTAGAATAGGAGTTAAATCCCAAATCTCAGAGGTGATTCTATTATATCCAGACGTTATCCTGCTTAGATTTTCTGGGCTACCAAGTCTGTGTTACACTGATCTAAATACGCAACGTTGCATTCAGAGAATCGGTCGATTACATCGCGTGCCATGATCATGAATACGTGTCACAAACACTACTTGGTGCCATTCAAAAAGTGAATTGGGGGCGACACTGCAGTGTTTTGATGAATTTGGAGTTAACTTAATTCTTATTTAATTTGCATATTAGTGGCACACAGTGTCCTGTTAATTTCGTTTGCAATTAATTAACAGTTTTGATGTTTAACCTGGTTTTATTTTGGATTGAATACTGTTTTTTTTTAGTTTCTAGATGAGGGAAGGATTGTGAATTTCAATTGCTGTTGGCTAAACCTAGTGAAGCCATTATGCATATTTATTTGTAAGAGTCTCAGCTACACTAAGGTCAGTTTGGGATGGTTGGCAAACACTACTCCTGTCACCTTATCGGTGTAATATTTGCCTTGAAATATTAACCGATGCCATTTGCAACACGGTTTGTCTGACGTATTGGTTAGTTAATTGCGTTGAATCTACAAACCACCTAATACAAAAATACAATGTAAATAACGTGTAATTGAAATATTCAATTACAGTATTACATTACAGTGTGTTTAACACAAGCAGTTTTAAAACATTGCTAATATATTCCAAGTGACCGTTTGTTTGGTTTAATTTTTTAAGTTGTGTTTATGGTGGCTTCTAAGTCTAATTTCTAATTCTCTCAACATGGACTGGCTGGTATTGCTAGTGGTGTAGTAAAGGCCTTTTCTTCATTGTTATTTATACTGTTATGGCTATATCCATACCGCCAGCAAGCTGGAAGGCTAGTGAGTGATCGAGGCTGCTGTGAACATCAGGGAGCGGATAATATGGAATGGATGTCCAAGCCATTGAGGTCAGTGCTGGTTTACATGGCCAGTTCATCTGAATCCATGTCCAGTTAACAAATCACCTTTACGTACAATGAGATGCTTTTGAAAAGGAATAATTCTGTTCACGCTGTTATGGTGAGATGATTGTGAGACTGAAAAAGAAGTATAACGGATGTCAATTAATCACACAAAACTCTGTTTGAATTATGTAGGGTTATGTGGTGCAGATTTTCATTAGCTTATTTCCGAGTTTACGGAAGCGAGTGTGTTTTTTAAATTAATTTTTTTAGTTAGTGGGGAGGGGGTTCCCCATCATATTTCAAATTGTTTAAACAAAAAGCATGATAATATATAAATCGTGATTTTTTTTTTTTACCTCTAGCATGTCCCGTTATATCGGTGGGTATAATTCCTTCAGGTGCAACGCAATCCACAGCGCGCGCTGCCTTGTGCTTCCTCCCTTGGCGCGGTGGGTGCACAATGAAGGGCACATTTTAGGATGTTGATGGCTCTAGCGTATGGGGCCGAGTTTGGGTTGTGGTGGCACACTCAATGTGACAGGCAGGGGGGGGGGGGTCTTTGATGTGGAGCTTAGCTCCTGCAGCTTGTCTATTTATAAATCTTGGGGGCCAGTTGTATCATTGCTCTCGAAGCCTTGATTTGTCATAATGCAGATCTCGGGCCTCTGCAATACTGCAGGGAATCCTAGGGGAGGGGGAATGGGAGAGGCAGGGAAGAAAAAGGGGGAGAGAGAGATGGGGGGGGGGGGGGGGGTAGTGGTGGTGGGGGAGAGGGAGAGAGCCACAGAGAGTGGGGGGGAAAAGCATAACGTGCAGCCAGTACCCTCGGAAATGTCTGCTCGTCAGTGTGGACAGCCGTAGTCTTCCTCTTTGTTCTCCAGCTGACCTCTTGAAGTGCTCTCGATCGCGAGGAAGCGACGTCCGGCTGACAATTTAGCGATCCTGCCTGCGGATAAAGACGCTCAAGTTTTGCGCGCGGTAATCCACGTGCCCGTCCCAGCGTGCGGTGCGAAGCGCGCGTTAAGATTTTTTTTTCCCCCAAAGCTTTGCCTCGTGCAAAATAGGACCTGGTTCTCCTGTGTACGGATTTCGACGACTTTTTTCATCCTGAAGACAATTCAAGTTTTAGGCGGTCGATGCGTTGCATCGTGTGAAGTTTCCGGATGTTGTGGACCGTTTTTCGACGGCCGCTATTTTTAAGTTAAAGGGTGGGAGGCAAGCGCTTGTGCACGTGAAGACGCGACATTGTTTGGGGAGTGCGCTTTAACTTTTGCCAAGTGCACCCAACGCGTGACGATGCTCTGGGAGCACCGCTGAGTAGTGTGTGCAAATGTGAGACGGCGAACAGAGCGAAATCGAACACAATTGTACGTACCGACCTGCAGCTCAAGACTTGCGCTGTGAAGATTGCCGAACTAATAACTCTGGTGGAAAACAAAAAAAATATCCACTTGTACACTCAATCTTTTGACTTTTGCGCGAGTTGGATTTACAAAAAAAAAAGGTTGCAGAGGACAAAAGTATAAAACGGACGAAAACAAAATAATTTCTTCAGCGATGATCAACTAAAATTGAAAAAAAAAATACATAAGCCGGTGATCGACATATGGAGCCAAGTGAGAAACAAAAAGGTATTGTGTTCTGCGTGGTGCAGTGGGATGGCGAGTGGCGTGCTCGCGTGCGTGCGCGCGCGCGCGTTCGTGCGCACGCACGCGCGCGCACGCACGCGCGTACGTGTGCGTGCGCACGAGCCGGTCCGCGCCGCGTGTGCCTGTGCGCGCGTGCGTTGGTGCAGGCTTGCCAGTGTGCATGTGGTTGTGCGTTTCCATGGCAACGTTCAGAGAACCCTGCACTGCACCACTTGTGAGTCAGGGGTTTGGGGAGAGTGACGACATGCGAATTCAGTTTCCTTTGTCTCACCGTTTGGGGGGGTGTGTCGCTGCAGTTTTCTCCTCCGTGCAGCTATTGGAGCCGATGTTGTGTATCGGGCAAACGGCGCGCTGCTGCTGTCCGACGGATCCCTTTGTCCGTCGCGATAGCCGTCGTCTTAATATGAACAGAACTGTTAATGTGCGTGTCCTCTGTGCCGTGTGTCGGAGCCTTTATCGAATGTGTTAGCAATTATATGCCTTTTGTGCGAAGGGTGCGAAATTGAGTGTGTGCGTGTGTGTTGGAGCATGCGAGAACTCGCCTTATGTTTTTACATCTGGAGTTGACTGCTCTTTTGCTCGCAAGGTACTGCATTTGTATGCACTCATCCGCGTCGTTTATTTTTTTATTGCCGATTAGTTTGACGTTTCCTCTCTCGTGTGTCTCCATCGTTGTTGGTTAACGCACGCGCCGGCTCGGCTGATTCGTCCAACGTTCATCCAACTCGGCGTCGTTTACGTTCGTGCATGATATAGATCGGCATGTCGAAGGCAATTTTGGCCGCGGTAAAATAAATTGTCGACGGTACTTGATGCGATTTTGTTTGCGCGCTCGCGGCGTTTTGCTCGCTTGCTCGTCTTGGAATTGCATGCACCCGTCTCTTTGTCTCCATCACTGTTGCGCTACCGAATTCCCCGCTATTGCAACGTACCTGTTGCGTGGTTGTTTTTTTTTTTTTGGCACAGACACACGTGTGTCGAATTGTGTGAGCGCCGGTAGATGAAGTTTTTTTTTTTGCGAAACAGGTGACTAACTGACTGCCAAAGTCACTTCAATTCAAAACACTGACTTGGGCGTTATTGGGCTTGTTCCTGTGGGATCCTTTTCTGCCAGTATACTAGGTGTCTATTTGGTATTGAATCATCTTAACACCTGTATTTGATTTTTTGTATCGTTATTAAGAATAACTGAAACCCACCTAAACGGGTTACCACTATTGTATCGAGTGGAGGGGGGGGAGCATTTTTTATTCTACAATTTTAAAAAAAATGTGTGCAATTGAGTTTCATTGACATGTTTTAAAATATTTGAATGACATGGAGTCCAGTGTCTCACACTTGCTCGTGGTTATGGACACATGTGGAAATGTCCTCCTTGTTGAATTCCCAGAGGGACAGAGCTTGTTCTGCAATCCGAGTTGATGGTGTGGCTAATCGAGGTGTCGTAACGCTGGTAGAATTAAAAACTACGTCAGGCTCGTTCAAATAACGGTATGTACCATTGGGCACTCTTGAAAAGCAAATTGTACCAATTATTTGAGAGATTACATTTTCCATTGTATACTCTTAGCATAAATCTGACAGAAATGTCCTCTTTATTTCAATTACGCTGACTGCTAAATTCAATATTTCATGGAATATGAACAGCTCTGTATAGCTGTGAAAGATGGAAAAAAAATGTAATATACAAAGCCCACGAATTCCATAATGGACCAAGAAATTGCTTCATTGAAAGGCAATGCCCTGCAAAGTTTCAAGCAAAATATTAAATATGGAAGACACGAGCTTATTTAGTTTTGTTAACTGGCTTAACATCCAGTGTTTTGAGGAAAGCCTGGACTGCATATTAATAGTTGAAATGTGCCATCTATTTTGGTCCCCAGGACAATGTGCTCGGGCTCGTGGTGTTGGTATATGAGCAGCGGGCGGGTAAATCAGTGGGTCAGGGTTCAATGCCTCTGCACCCGACACCAAACAGACTCGCACGTCACGCCATTGGCCACCTAAGACACCATGTACAGTTCGTTTTGTGGATTATAACACATTTTTTAATTAAATAAATATCCCTCTTTGGGCTAATCCAACAGGTGGGTTATCTCCATTTGTTATCCCGAGCCTTTGGGCACTCTCGTTGTGTGCAACTTTTTAACGGAGATTTTTTTTTTTAAAACACCGCTCCTAACTGAGGGGTCTGAATCCCACAGTCGTAAAGAATCCCAGGTTTTATTTTAATAAAGCAATGGTGTGCCATTACATTCGGAATTGAGGCTATTATCTGCCGGATGTAACTCATAATCTCTGCAACAGAGCAGGGCTTAAGGAAGCTGATCTGATGTAAATATCAGTGATTACATAAGCAACATCTATAAATAACAGTAAAATACCATGTGAAGTGTGTGCACTGCAGAAACACGTTAATTAACCTTGGTTATTTTGAGCATATATTATCAAGGATAACTCCACAGTCGGGTTATTCATTTATTAAAAGTCTTAATAATATTACATGCACATGTACTTCAGATGAAAACAAACTACCAGTAATACTGCCACAGAACACAAAACCACATTATCTATTTTATTGAGTAGCCTAAGGATCGTTCTTGTAAGGTCCAACAATTTCCTTTAACACTGGTACAATTGTGATCCGAACTATGAAAGCTATTTCTGGACTTGACACAAGAGATGTTAACTACCTCACCTGGTATACAGGAAGTCGTGGGTCTGACCCTCGACCATGACGCCTGCTATATATTTGGATGTTGCATGTTCTCCCCGTGGTCGCGTGGATTTTTCTCCGGGTCCTCCAGTTTTACCCTCCACGTTTAAAATCAACATCACCACGCATTTAGATTGTTTGGCTGCTATAAAATTCCACGTGATGATAAGCCACTTCGTTGCACGGTCATTTGTGGCCAGGTCGCTTCTGAAAAAAAGAGCTATTATAGCTCGGTGGGCATTACCTGGTAAAAATAAAACATCTTTATAGTTTCAGTTAAGTTTGAACATCCTTTGTGAAGAATACCGGGCAAAGGAAACCAAAGTGAAGCATCCTTGGGGATGGTGGTCATCTTTGTGTATGCACTCTGATGTTAGATGTTTGATATGTCTCCGTAAACCTGTCACTTCTTTCCTCTTGAAGAGCAGCTTACAGTGGTAAAGAAATGGGCGTAAGGAATCATCTCAGCATATCATCTCTGAGAAGCAATTTTCGCATGACATCAGAAAATAACCATGGCTCTGTAGCATTGAGCCATGAATGCAAGACACAATACGTCCTTCACCTCCACAGTATATACATGTACAATAATGCCTCAGAATGCACAATTTCGGAGGTTCTTCTTTATCGTCATGATTCGATGCCGTATAATTGAAGAATCTCTTAACGTTTAGAAAATGCCATACAAAGGAGTGGCCATGCAATTTTGCCTCCATTGTGCTCACATGATTGTGTAAATGTCACCGACACGTACTGACATTGCCGCGGTCTGTGCAGCTTGTAAAAGCATTCATTCAGTACTAATACCAGCCTATGCAATTAAACTTTAAAGGAACACTGTCCCCATGGACCAATACACTTTGAACAAAATATAAACACGTTCTGCCTGTAGGAACTAATTAACACGATCAATTGAGATAGCTTGTGCCATTATTTCTTCAACTTCCTTTACGACTTTTCTCCAAATAACCTGCTCTCCTTAAAAAAAAAGAATTTATTCTAAACCAGTCCTGGGGCTTCCCCACCCACCTTTCACCAACTTGCAGTGACCAAGGTGGTGAAATATGGTCAAACAATCCCCATGATGACTACCACATGTTGGACTATATACATCCAGCAGTAGATTTACAAACGACTATATACCTTAATTTCCTCCCCCATCTTTCTTAGGTGATGCAGAGGAGGTTTGATTAGTGCATACAAACCAGATACAGATGCTTTGTACTTTATTTCTGTTGACTTTTATAAATGTTGTAAAGCAACATGATTTAATTTCCCAGAATGTAATACATTATATATTATTACCAGGCTGGTAATCTAAAACAGGACTTATTTCTAGGTTTCTCTCAGCATAATTTAATTCCATACTAATATTTAATTATTGTGCAATTTTTCAAGGTGTTTTCGTTTTTTGTCATCTTAACATTTTAAATTATTTCTGAGGATGCCACTAGGCGCAAGCTGAACTATTACCCCGTGCTTTTAGTGGTGGTCTCCTGACCCGTCATAATTGCACTTCCGCAAATATTAATCCTCACACTCCTGGCGATGCTTTTACGGAATAAATCACTTTACACACCAGTGAGTCAGACCTGAAATTGACACTGATGGCAGCAAAACTCTCAAGTACAGTGGAGCTCACATTGGCTGTATGTGCTTTTGGGATCACACGAGTGCATGACATTAACAGGGCTGGCAATAAACCAAAGCAAAACAGCATTTGAGGGTGCCACAGCATTCCTGCAACACAAATCAATTGAGCATATTTACACGATATAATTACACTTGCACACACATTGGCCAATTAATTTACACACGTGTATGTTTACACGCATGGTGCAATGATGATGCACATTCATGGATTGCAGGTAATTAACAATACTCGTCAATACACATTGTTCTCTATAAATGGTACAACACAAGTTTTTTTTATTATCTGGTGGTAACATATATCATATATATCATCTGTTGCAAATTGCCAGAGTGGTTTTCATTAATCTGCAAGGATTTTGCCATTTGCTGTGACTTTACCAGATATTTTGGTTGGGCGTTTTATTGATAGTCTCATCTATCTCTCGTCTGTTGCCATTGAGTAAATTTCATGGAATTCCCTTGAGGAGGTTTGGCAAACATGTGCACAGGCACAGATGACTTGGTTTCAGGCTACCTTACCTTCACTTGTGAATGTCAATCACGACATTTAGATTATTCATGGATATTTATGTTGAACCTATTTGACTAGGTATATTGTGTTTATTATTTAATGTGTATTTATTTGTCCCCAT